GGAGAGCTTCCAATTTAGACTTTAGGATAAAATGGAAAGAAGATGGGAAGTTAAACACTAGTGTTTACAGAAAAACCACACATTCAAACAAATATTTTTATTTCTAATCATCCTATCCTCTGTCAGTTAAAATAGGATTAGCTAAAACTAAGTAGTGCCAAGGAAAATCAGAGACAGAAAGTAAGGCATATAAGAGAAACTTTGAAACTTATTAATAACCCTGATAAATTAGTCGGAAAGTATGCAGGGAAATGTAAAAATATAACAAATAATGACATTAGTCACAGTGATAACAATAATAATATTAATGACGACACACACCAACAGTAAGGAACTTAAATCATCAGTATTAATTACATACAACAAGGAAACCTCGGAAGCCTTACGCAGAATTCTTAACAAGGCAGGAATAAAAGTGGCTGGCTTTCAAACCCACAAACTTGATTGGAAACAAGCTTTGTCGGTTAAATGGTGGATCCTCTGAAGCCTTTAAAACAAAACAATTTAGTTTATCTAATACCCTGCCTGCGATGATTGTCAGGTCAAATACATAGGTCAAAGTAGTAGAACAGGTGCAATCAGACTAACCAACCATAAAAACCTAGCAAAATCTAGATTAGTTGACCCAAATAAGATAAGGATACTGTAAAGTAGTTCAGCTTTAGTTCAGATATAGCACTACATGCAATTACACACAACCATACACTAAGATGTCAAGATAAATAAAGTAGAAGCTGATTTCCGTTTGTGTCGCGCAAGTCAAGGCTTGTGTATCATACGGAAGTCAGGCTATTTTTAGATTTTCACCAAAATCTGTCTTTGATCAATATTACGTCGTAGATGCCCGATTAAGTATGATAAGCCTTAGGTCTCTAGGTACTGAAGGTTCGTTAGCCGGCTACCCTGGCTACCCGTTACCCTGAAGAATTTCTAGAATGAAGTAAAAACAGACTAAAATGTCCTGAAAAGACCAGTGAATGATGTCGTGCCAGATATTTGAATGAAATCCTAGTGGGAAATGACTGTTCGACTTTCCGAGGGTCACACAAGGGAGATTGTGCGCGAAGAGATGAGACGTAGACTGTGATTCATGAAATCAGATGAAAAAGATTGAAGAGTACAGGATGAGAAGGTAATATGTCCGAAGGCCTACGTTCCAATGAGAAGTCACGAGACGAATAATATTATATATATATATATATCCATTGTGTGCAGTCTTTATTTGTCCCATTTGTTTGAATGTCACATGTGTCTAGAAACCAATGAAACCGTTTGTACTTCAGCATCCATTCAAGCCTTCGACTTGTCAACGGATACCAAGCATTTCAGTTTAATAGAGAAGTTAAACTGGAAAATAAACTGGTGTTTGCTAGTTACTGTCCACTGGACGATGTTTGTCCAGTTTCTCAGTAGACCTGTTGTGGTCAACCAAGTTAGCTGATAGGACAGTCACGCTTCGGTGACATTAGCTGGCGAATGAGCTAAAGGTCGCGAATCTGCGGAAGTTGAAATTCATATAAGGCATTGGATTTTGTCTCAGTAGATGTACGGTCTACGACCTTCTCTTGTTAGAATCCAGGTGATTTCGTACTGATGATGAGTCCTAGTCTTGGACGAAACTAGTGTCCAGCAATTCATGGCAATTGATGTCAGCTCGTCATCGGACTTGTAATCAAAGTCGATCAACATGAAATTTTAAGCAAAAATGTCATGTTACGCATTGAGTTCTTCTGGTGCCCAAGCGTCAGATTGGCCTAAAATTGATGTGAGATCCAGCCAATCTTGTATGTTATGTGTTTGAATTCGTCCAACAAGTTAAACATATGAATTAGACAATTTAAAAATGACTTGACAGCCAACTAAAACAACTAATTAAATAACATGTGAAACAAAGTGTTATTGCTTAAAGTGGGAGTGATCGAATCGAATATTTATGCTGTGGATACACCGAATATATGTCAACCACTGACGTCTTTCAGCTTCCGATCCTGACAAATTAATTACAGTTCTCAGATTCTCAGAAACCACTGACATGAAAACACTTCGACCCAACCTACGCACACAGATATAGTGTGTGTCTACTCTTCTACCACCCTGTTAACCATAAATGTTTTATTCGTGTGCATTTACGTTCTGTTCTTTTGATGAATAACGCTCCACTCAATTTTGAACTGAATTTTAACTCACTGAGTTGAATCCATTAATAAGATTCCAAATCTACTAAATCAAATTATTTTGCCTATTTCATAATTTTACTTCACTATTCACCCGCACCCTCCTCAACTCTTCTCCATAATATGCATAAATTAACTCTATTATTCTGTTTTGTAATTTTTCTTCAGTCCAGCTTTGTCTCCGAATAAAATCAGAACTCAGCATTATCCAATTGTCTATTTACATCATCCTTGAAATTATGTTGCTTATATCGTATTAGGCCACTTCAAAATAAATATACAAGTTCCCTTGCTCGAGTGCAGCTGAGTACATTGTCTCTATCATGCGTCCGCTTGTAAAACGATCTCACGAACACTATCCAGCTTGGTTAGCAAAGGGAGAACTCAAACAGGTATACAACTCAGTAACAGAACATCTAGTTAATTCTGAACATTCAACCCCATCTGAAAACTACTTCAAAGCCGTATACAAGATCTCATCCAACCTACAAAGGGAGTGAAATCAAAATATTCAGGAATAGCTGAGGCAATGGCTATCAAAAAACTCAAGCCTATCCTAAGTGTCCAAAAGAAATACGTCCAACTGCTGTCTCCACCGTGGTTATCATTGAAAGTTAGTCTGACAAATAATGAATATCCTATTACCCCTCTTGTCCAACCGTCCCAATTATTTCTGTCATATTTACCTTCTTTTTTAATTCCCTATCTGCATTATTAGATTTGATTACCATTTTCATCTTTTTACATGTCCAAACCTTCTACCTATCTCGTCAATACTACATCCTTAGACCGTAGTTATACCAACTGACTAGTTTTCTAGTAATTATAATCCCTTTTGTCTTTTCTATCCCATGTTCTTGACTATTATTTCACATTGTAACTTTTAATTTGACCTTTGACCTGAAATATTTCGAGAATAGTACCACTACCTATCTTCAGTTTATCACACTGCGTAATTTTATTAATCTGACATCTGACGGGAAATAATTCTGAAACTTTCTCACACATTTAATATAAATACACGAATGTACAGCCTAGCTGATGACTTCAGTGTAAACAAAATTTCCTTCGTTGCAACCGTCTTTTTAATAATTCCTATGATTCAATGTGTAAATATTCTGTGTTTATAATTTCTGTGAAGTCATTGTAAAAAGTATGTCGAGACACCATTTTGTAACGTATAATTGATTTACTTAGGATGCACGCAGTTGAGGAGAATCCACCGAGTAAAACGAGCTCGTGTTATCTTCTTCGCAAATGTGTTCATGCTTTCTTTATTCAAACTAATAAAGGGAATTGGCTGTATGAAGTTATGAGGCGTTTGAATTCACACAGATACGCATACATACACTAGATTGTGAAGACAAAACACATTGTTCAGAGAAGAAGATCCAGCCAGTAAATTTATTTTATTCAGCTGAACAATCGCCTTTAGACACGCAGATATCTACTGCCTACAGTTTCGTTTGCTTGTTACTCCACCTGCTTATAACTCTTATTTCAACGCTGACATTAAGTAGGGTCAAAAACGTATTTCCGAAACATGGACCTCAACAGGTGTCATCCCATTTAGACCGGAGACGCTAGACGATATCAGAAGAGTACCCAACAAGCTTGACATCAGAGTTTTCATCAAAACAGCAGATGAACTGCGAAAGAACCTAGTGCCTGTAAAAGACTAAATCCCAAAAGATTCCCTATGTAATTGTGTCTATAAAATAAAATGCTTGGAATATGATGCGATATACATCGGACAAACCTCACCAGAGAAAAATCGAAATCAGAAGAAATGAACACCGTAGAGCACCTGTTCGACCACCGAGAAATTCAGTTGAATTGGAAAAGCCATAGAGCTCTTCTTACAATATTGAAATAATCCAGAAAAAAAATTTCAGAAATCCCAAAGAACGTCTAATATCAGAAGTACTTCAAATCAAGCGGAATCCATATCGTGTGAATAGGAATGATGCAATGAAACAGAATTTGACCTGGTTACAACACCCCCTCCTCCCATGAAATGACAACACGTATGTGATAGGCAATTTCATTATGTAAACACACGCTGCTTTTGTATAATTTTACACACTTATTAAATTCAACAATCTACACCTGGTTTTGTTATCTTTACCAATTGGCTAACTTGATAACACAAAAATGATCCTATGCTGACGAACGATGATTAAATTGTTATGTATATGCCAAGATTTTGTGAATTCTCGTTTAATATTACTTTGATAAAGCTAATAGAAGCAGCATTAAATAGCGAAACGTCAGTAAAAGCAGCTATATCGTTTTGTTTTTCATTCATTGGGAAATACAAAAACACCTTTATTATCATGAATAGTTAGGACTCTTGAATAATTCTATATTCTTCTTTGTTTCTACGTTCGTCTTGTTTACAATTCACTCAGTACATTATCCGTCTTCTTACATAACTCTGGTTCACTTTTCTCACACACTGGCTAACAATAACAATTATGTTTGTGACAAATCATCACTCTTATTACTAACATTTTGTATGAAAAATTGTATTTAAAAACCGATTGTAAAGCTAGAGAAAATGAACTCGCTGAACTACGTGTTTTATCTTTATGAATGTCTGCAAGAAGGTTATTTAATAAATTGCTTTCAGAACATCGTCATCCATTTATGGGTACTCTATCACTGTGCGTTCTGTCAAACAAACGCATCTTATGTAAAATTCTCTTTTGCTACAGTACTTCTAGGCTGAAAGCTCTATGCCCCATACAAGGTAATATAAAAAAGTTTAGAAAAGCTGAGAAATGTAAACACACACACACACACACACCCATGTAACGAACTCACCTGCTTCCTCCTCAAAATCGTCATTATCAATCGAATAATTATGATCCAAAGTTTGGTTGATCTTTTGTGTACTATTAATATTATTTAAGTCAATTATATTGAAATTATGATTTAAATAATTACCATTGATTGTATGATTGATGTAGGCATCAGCTCTACTAATATTACTAATTTTTGTTTCAGTAGTAGATAAATTATTAGTTAAAATCATAGGTTGAATCATTTGTTCTGTAAGATATAGAATATGATATAATGAAATTATAAAAGTTGAACAGGAATATGTACACATGAATGAAAGGAAGTATGCTTTAATCTCCCCTTATCTTTATATGTATATATGCGTATATGTATGTATGTATGTATGTATATGTAAACAATAACTATATTTCAGTACTTGTTATACGGTATATGTATATAAATTATATAATCCATGCTATGTATTGAAATAGTTTATATCCACATTAAATATTCTCAAAAGTTTGACTATACAACTAGTTGAAAGCAGCATCTCTGGAGTCAATGAAAATATGCAGTACAGTTTTTTACGGTTTCTCAGGTTGATTGTATACTAGCACAGTTTATCCATTTGTTCATTATGACAGCTGCTCGTTTATAGTCCGATCGCTGATGTATATCTATATACATATATATATATATACTTATATACGTATATACTCACGAAAAACGTAAAGAATATCCCAGATTCATTCTGAATGGCATTATGGCATAATTCAAATAAAATGATATCTGATTGGTTTAACGTAAGCAGCTAGACTGTTTTTGATTGGCTGATTTTGTGGGAAGTGAATGTATATAAAGAAGGAGTGATAGAGGCATGATTCACACCTATTGCAAAATATGAGGGGAAGGGTGTCTATTTCTGATTGTCAACAGTAAGCAGATTGTTTTTCTAGAAGACTCGAAATGCTGTGAAACTAATGAGAAGCTGGCATTTTGAATACATCATAGTCACTTTGAAATAGCTGTGTTCCCTGAGCTGTTTGGTTTAAATCTGAAGCTTTTCTCGCCCTTCTAGACAACATCTTCCTTCAGCGCAGATTTTAGTATAAAATGAATTCATTTGAATTTTCCATGAATAACAGAATTGTGTCTCCTGGTAGTTGATGTACACCTTTATTGATCACATTTATTGACTTGGAATTTGACCTTTCTCGTCACATACTTTACATTTTATTGGTTGGTAAATTTGTTCTGTATTAATATGTTTTTTAAGCATTGATTTACTTGAGTATGAGGCTTCTAGGAATTCTATGACTGCGTTTTCAGTGTTTCCTCTATTCAAAATGTCTACATAATCCCAAGGAAATCGGTACCTTTAGTTATCTTTATGCAGTGATATGAAAGAATACATATCGTGCCTTTTTATAGCTAATTTATGTTCTTGGATTCAGGTTTGAAGGGAACAGCAACTCTTAACGATGCAATGTGTATTGGAATTCATACAGTTTGTTCTGTAAGTGATATTTATTTTATCTTCTTTTTCTGTTGGATTGTTTGGTCTTAAAATACCGCATGAATTGATTGTGCTGGCCTGTGTGCCATATGATTATCCTATTAACTTTCTTGACCAACCGTCCCATTTATTTCTGTCATATTTACCTTCTTTTTTAATTCCCTATCTGCATTATTAGATTTGGTTACTGTTTTTATCTTAATATATCCTAACCTCCTACCCATTTCGTGATTAGACTTACTGACGTGTTTTCTAGTAATTATAATCCCCTTTTGTCTTTTCTATCCCATGTTCTTGATTATTATTATTTCACATTGTAACTTTTAATTTGACCTTTGACCTGAAATATTTCGAGAATAGTACCACTACCTATATTCAGTTTATTACACTTAGTAATTCTATTAATCTGACATCTGACGGGAAATAATTCTGGAACTTTCCCCCGCATTTAATATAAATACACAAATGTGCTGCCTCCTGGTGGATGACTTTGTTGAAAAGAAAATTTTCTTCTCTGCAACCGTCTTTTTTTAATATGTCACAGATATTTTTTATATATATTTTTGTGATGTTGTGATAGAGACAATGTGTGCCAACGGAATTTTTTTCTCACAAATTCCCACAATTCATCTCGGAATTAGCAACAGGAAATGATATATCTATTTGAACATTTTATTTGATGTTACCGACAGAATACATTTCCCACGGTTACAGATTGCATTGACGAAAGAAAACTATGTAAATATGAACATTTTCAAGTATTGGTTTTGTAGGGATTTTGTTTGATTGCATGGAGGATTTAATCATGATCTGACATCAATTAGAGAACCACAGGAAAACCTGGGAGTACTGGACAGCTGTTTCGTCCTAGTTTGGGACCTGGGGTTCTAGTGAGAAGCCGTGACCAGTAGGGTACAGCAGGTCGAAGATGAGGCAGTAACTCATCGAAGAAGACATTGCGAATTGGTCACGCTATGTCGTGAATTGGCAGAAGTTAGAATTCAAGAACTATTGGACCGGGTCCCAGTAGCTGAATGGCATTCTAGCTAGCTCGCCTTGTAACCAGAAGGTCCTGGTTCGAACTCTGGCGATGGGTGCGTACTGGTGAGGAGTCCCAAACTAGGACGAAACAGCTGTCCAGTACTCCCAGGTTTTCCACTGGTTCTTTAACTGATGTCAGCTCATGATTAAATCCTCCATGCAATCAAATATGAACATTCTTTTTCATGTCTTTTGATGTACACCAAAATCACACGCTTAGTGATTCGTTGAAGCATGTTAACTGTATATTTAAATAAACAGCCGTTCGATTAGTGCAAACGATACTTTGGCTTCCATGTCTTGTCTTCTGTTGTTACAGTAGGATGAATTCCTTGTAATCTTTGATGCTGGCTTGTTGTTGGTGTTATGAATAGAGTTTTAACACTTTTTGATGAGATTTTGAGGATTTCCTTTCTTTTTGAAGGCGGTAAATAAGTATGTTTCCTCTATTCTCCATTGAACACTAGAGTGCTACAGTGTGTTTGAACTCCTTCAAATACAATGTCTGCACACAGTTTCTTTTGTTGGTAATACGGTTATTACTACTATAGTTGAGTATTTGTCCTGTGTACGTTGATTTTTTACATACTTGTGTTTCTAAACTTCCTGTATAAGTTTTCCTGATTAAGATATTTAAAAATGGAATTTTGTATTTGAATTCTTCGTCTCTTCCAAAACTTGATAGAATAGTCACATATCATCAAATAAAATTCCTCCTGATCTACATTAAAGAACCAGACACTATTGAACAACCATTTCGTCTTAGTTTGAGGGTAATTCAAACCTTTGCACATCAACAACTGAAGACTAATCCAATCTTTACTGTTGTCCATGAATTTGGAATTCAGGGAAAATACTCCACAATAAAATCTGCTCGCGGTGACATAACATATCTATCTACAGTGAAATAAAAAAAGTTTGAATTCACACATTATTAGATCCCCGGCTCATATGGTAACTCCAAGGTCCTGGGTTCAATCCTCAAAAGGGGATAAACCGAGAACCTACTTTTATACCATTCTGAGAATATGAGTAAGTTGCTACATTAACACGCAGAGAAAATGTGTGATTTGTGGAGATGCTGATTGACACTTAACTGTATGCAAAAGAAATGCTACGATATTTAGACAATTTTTCTTATTCCTTCAATTTCCTAAGTGGAACATAGGGCTTCAAGCTAGTAGCAGTGTTTATTTTTACAGAACGGGGTTGCTAGCCCCATGCCCAACCTTTCCTCTCCACAAGCATTATTCCTGGCTTAGCGAGGTATAGGAGTGCGTCGGCCGGGGATCAAACCCCGGACCATATGCATACTCGGCGAGCGTCTAACCGCTATGCCACCGACGCGTATTTAGACAATAAATCAGTGTGATGAGAGAATTTTTCAAGCTTTGACCACAGTTATCAGCGTATTTACTGCCCATATTCTATCATTTTAATGTGTTTCTCATTTGCACGAAAGATAATAATATGGATGAAATCATTTGCAAAGAAAATATGATTCTCAACCCTGTGTTGTATTTGCTATCTATAGGGAGACTTATGAAACAGACTGAAGGAATTTTCATTAAAATACTGCATGAATTTGTATAAAGTTACCTAAAGTATTCTTGAGGAAAATTGGCCTTCATAAATGGACACAGCCTCTCCCATGACCTTAATCGGCAGACAACTCAATTTTGTGCAATTTTTTTTCCTTTACGACCCTAGTAAGGCATTGGGCTTCAAGATACAGGTTTTCTATCTTCGCAAGTCGATTTCAGATCAGTCGGTGTCTTTCTGTTCTTTTTCTCTGTTTTCGTGAGAAATATCAGGTCGAAATTTCTTCCTGTTTGCATAATGCCTCAAAAAACGGTGCGTAAACCTAATTTAATGTAATAACACGTAAGTAAGTGATTCTCACTTATTTGTGTGTAAGTGATGGATGTTAGATGGAGTATTTTAGAATGGTATGTACATATGTGCATCTAGTCATCGTGGTCATTCCTCCAATTCACAGAACATGCTTCGTTACCTCTTTTAATGCCAACATTATCATCAATAAAATTGTTGCCTGCTTTGACCGCAAAAGTATAATATAAGGCGATAAGTTGTGCTCTATGCATCGTCAAGTTATTTACACTGTAACACTGTCTTACATTAAATAAACTTGTATAATGCGGATTCACATATAATCGCATTGTGGAACTTCTATACTTAATCTCTACCTTTTTATTAAACCTGAGTATGCGGATTACCTGAGTCTAAATCAAATGCAGAAATACAGTAGATGACTTGAGAAGAAAGGTTTGTTTTTGCACACATGAATGAACACGTCTTTCAAGATGAACACCTCAGATGTCAACAATGCTGACCATCAAGATGTCCTCCAATATGTGTTGAAACATTAAATCGGATTTGTAGTCCTATTCGGAACTACAAATTAGATAGAGCTAATAATGACATATGCTGAATAAACTATAGAGAAATATCATTACTTTCAAAACAAAAGTAATATATATATCAATCAGTATAAAACTCCAGCACGAAATTCCCATCAGCGTTCATCTAATTACTCTATCACATGGAACGCAATGATGAAAGCTAATATGCAATCGATTGAATTTCCCTGCATTCGTCAATATCGAATGTACACGAATGTATCAAGTCAGCGTAATCATTTCTACTATACACAGCACATGTTGCCGTTATCTCTATTATTGCTACTATTATCATCAATATAATTAATGCCTGCTTTGACTGCAAAAGTATAATATAAGGCAATAAGTTGTGCTCTATGCATCGTCAAGTTATTTACACTGTAACACTGTCTTACATTAAACAAACTTGTCTAGTGTGAATTCACATTCTATCGCAGTATAGAACTTCTACACTTATACTTCTACACTTTTATACACCTGAGTATTTGGAGAAAGAAGTGAAGCCGATGCACAGTATACTCAAGTCCTTTGAAATAAAGGAGTGACTTAAAGTTTTCGAAGATACCGAGCTTTATGAAAAGGAATTGAATGTGTAGCGATTCCTAGGCACTCAAGCAATACAATGAAGCAACATGTCCAGTTGAGTACTAAATCAGTAGTCTGTATGGAATAATAAT